TATTCCTACATTTAAGTAACTGGAGCAACAGCAGTCATTTTTTAATCTCCACATCTTACATTTGGTCTTTTTATTTACATGCTTCCAACCCAAATGTAGCCGTTTGAAATGACTCTAAGGGGAGTGTAGAAGACAGAATCCTTCTTAGTTTTCAGAGATGGCTTCCCTCCTCAAGTGCCTTGCCTATTACACTGTTGCGCTACATTTCCTTTCAGAACTTAACCTATCTGAATCAGAAAAATAATAATCAAGAAGTCCCCTCCAGTTGGTAACCTTAAATCAAAACAGGGAGTTCTTACTTGCACTATATTTAAAAGAAATTCTAAGGTTCTTTGGTTTTGAGTAGATTTTTAATATTATGCTTAAAAATACTGGGGAGAAAAGGAATTCCAGCTCACAGTTCTGTAACGCTAGAAGGAACTTAAGGCATACTGCAAGTTCTCCTTATTTCAAAACCTACAACACCCTCTCCTCCACCTCCTTGCCCTCCCCAAGATTAGGGTTCAGTACAATACTGACCGAGAAGGTTAAAGTGGTTAAAAAGCAGCATCAAAGAGTCCAAAGGCATTGTGCAAATATATCATTTTTATTCCTCTTTCGTGGAAATAATTGCAGACATTCAGGTAGAAACATATTAAATTAATGCAGTCAAAGAGTTTAAATGCAAAAATAAATATAAAGTCCAGCAGTTGATTGCGTTCATAAAACATCTCATTTTTTCTTAACAGTTAGAAAAGGGATGTGCATTTTTTTCTTAAATAAAAAACAGCCAAGGTAGAACATACATACAAGCACTTTCTTTTAAAAAATATCCCGACCTCACTTGCAAACTGTTCTTTGACTCTAGCACATTCACACTGTTTTTTTTTAATCGGAGGTTTTTGGTTTTAAAGGGGGAGCAAAGAAACATCATCCGTCCAAAACCACGGTTCCAAATCTCTGTCTCCCAGTCTGTTAGAATTTGGATCTATGATACAAAATCAAGCGAGAGTGTCCAGCAGCCGTTGGGGGAGGGGGGGAACCAAACGTTATCCGCAACAAATCCCTTCAGAAATAGTCTCGTCGTCCGGTTTAAAAAATATACTCTGCGAAGTTCTCCTGGGTTTGTGATCTGCCAACTTCACTATGAAGCAGCAGCACCACACTGAAGGGGGGCGGCGGCGGGGGGGGGGCTCAAGTCCTTTGCCAGTCTCTCTCTCCGCGCTTGGGGTTGGCCGGGGGCGCCCAGCAGTCCAAGCCGCCCCTCCCCTTCAGAGGGCAGAGTCGGAGTCGCTGGAGTCCAGGCTGTTCCTCAGCCGGCTGCAGCTGCTGAGCTTGTCCCGCTGCAGGCTGAGGTTCTGGGTGCTCCTCCGGAGGCACTCGAGGGACTGCAGGAAGGACTTCTTGGCTTTCTCTTCCTCCATGGGGGAGACCCCTTCCTCTTCCACCTCCTGGATCTCGTCGAAGGTTACCGGCTGGGTCTTGAAGCGAGACTGCCGGGGTCTGCGCAGCTTGCCCTTGGGCAGCTTGGCGGGCCGGATGGGCTGAGGGTACTCCTCGGCGATACACACGAAGTGCGGCATGACCGCCTGGTAGCTTGAGCTGATGCCCATCAACTCGGCGGGCTTGGCTGCTGCGGCCGCTGCCATCATCTGGGCGGAGGAGGAGGGGAATCTGGGGCTGAGGGGGCGCGCGGCGTTGGCCACCTGCGGGCTCCTGCTGGGCTCCAGCCCCGCCTGCTGCTCGAGTGGTCCTCCGCGGGAGAGAACGAGGCACCAAAAGCGCGGGAAAGCCACCGAGGACCGCCTCGGCTGCAAATGCGAGCCCCAACCGCAAGAGGCCACGGAGTAAGACCGCTTTCGGCAGCAGCGAGCTTTCAGCCAGGCAGACCGCAATGCCTCCTCCTTCGTACCAAACTCGCGCTCTCGCCCAACTACCTCGCTCGCTTCCTTGTGCTCTCGGCGCCGCGTCCCCTGGTTTATATACCCCCACGTCTGCCCACACAGGAGCATGCTCGGATGACAAGCCATACCATTTAAAGAAGACGAGGCCGCTTCCCTTCCGCCTGACGTGTCGGGCTCGGGGGTGGGTTCCCCCCTCCGCCCCCCCCTAAATATTATTATGACTGAAGTAACGACGACACCCCCGCGATCATGAGCCGCAGAGACAAGGGAAGAGCGACTCCGGAAGGCGGAGAGGAGGGACCTGTGAACACACATCACCCCCGCCTGGGGGTTTCCTGGAGAATCGATTAAACCGAACTGCTGTGTGGCAGCGACCCTTTGCGTGGGGGAGGGAAGAGGCCCAGGAGATGCGCAGAGGGGCAAAAGCACACCCTCGGCGGGAGATCCGCGACTGAAATCGACTGATTCCTCCCCTCTCACTGAACTGCAGTATTGGAGCTGCTCATCTGAGCCGAGCAGTAGGCTGCTGAGGTAGGATGTTTAACACACACATCACACTCACACCGTTTAATCGCCCTCACCCCCCCGCGTGTAAACAGAAACAGTGTGTGATTTAGACTGGAAAGGGGGTGGGGGTGGGGGGGGGGAAGACATCCTTCTTGCCCGCGTCCTGCAAACCGCCCGCGCCGCGCATGTTATTTTTGTTAAAGGCCCGACCCGTCGGGGAACTCGACTGACAGATCTCCAACGTAATATGTACTTTGGCCCTCAATATTACGCTTACGCACAAGTCTCGAGGTACTCAGACATATACAAATCGCCGCACACAGACTACCAAGGACGCACTCGGGACACTTGACACTGCGAGAAAGATAAGGATTGGTGATTTTTCCACTAAGTTGTGAGGAGGATGACGCTCGAGGTGGCTCTTCGACCCTCATCTCTCCTAATTCTGCCTGGTGTTTACACAGGGAGGAGACTTCCCTAATAATAGCTTGTCTGTGCATGGAGCAATGCAGTTTCTAGAGGCTATCATTTCTAACACAGAATTCAGAAGCAATAAACCAATTCATGTAAAGACAAAACTACAAGATATGTTTGAGGGCTGCTGCAGAACCCGATCTCATCCATTGCAATTGTCCAGGGGGCACAAATTTGGCATAAATGTTGCCTTCAAGTGCTACTGGTCCTCATTGTGGAAGGAGGGGGTACTTCACAGTAAAGCTGAGTAAGAAGTTGAAAACCAGACTTGAAACTGAAAGGGAACAAAAGGGTCTCATCATCCACTCCACTCTCAGTTGCTAAATATACTAACTCTTTATGTGATCTAAACAAGCTAACTGATATGGTACACCAGAGATCTGCCCAGTGTTAAGAATCCAACATTCCCCTAAACATACTTACGTGGCAGCCAGAAGGCCTCCTATGTGGTTCCCATGTATTGTAGTTATTTTTCAACCTCATTTGGTGAAACTTTACTCCTGCATTCAGGGCATAATGGAAATAATGAAGCTTGAACCATTTAAGACCTGTTGCATATTTGGATCATTTTAATATTATCACATTACTTTATTGTATTTCTCATAGTTTTAATTTAAATATAAACCCTATTAAACAGAATGTGGGCAGGGGCCAGACATCATAGTACAATAGTAAGACAGTAAACTGAAAGTGGAGAATTGCTGGCAGCTCCACTTAGGAGCTTGTTGTCAGGTAGGGGGGCTGAGAAAGACCTTGGGACCTTGAAATGCAGGGCCAGTCAGATAGATAGATGTGGCCTAGCTGACCCATTAGTCTGAGTTGGCATATCACAGCTTCATATCGTTATATCTAATAGCCACATGCTACCTCTATGAGAACCAAAAAGTATACACTACATGGACAGGCAGAGCTAAAGCACAGATTTTGCAATCTAGGGCAGAATCCCAATATTCACAGAAAAACCTTAATGGTGACAAAAATAATGTTTGGGGGTAAAGTCAGCCCAAAATCTTTATGAGATGCATGCACAGACATTAAATAATCCAGATGGTATAGTGGGTATATCAATCCAAAATGCTATGCAAAATACTGTGGTGGCAACAGCTTCTTCAAGCAGGCAAGCTTGTGCCCACCTGCTGGGCAGAACTAAGGAAGGTCAATGGATGGGAAGTGTGGGTGGCTGGTGGACAGAAAAGCAAGGACTGGGGCAGGGAAAGTGGGACATGGCAAAGGGGAAAGAACAGAAGGGTGAGGAGGAAGAGCGAACAAAGCTCAAACAAGAGGGGAAAAGTGGGGGCAGCAGGAGAGAAATGAGAGCTGCCCTTTTCAACAAGTCTTCACAGGTCCCTTTTTCCATATAATGTACATCATGCTATTATGGGCACTGGATTTCTGTGTTTCCCATTTCAGAACTATCAAGAATCATCTATCTCTTACATTTTTATCCCACCTTTCTTTGAAGGATTTTGGGATGGTGTTCAAGATCCTCCCCATAAAAAAAACCCCCTCAAATTCAGGAAGGGGTTATGTCCTTGTGAAATTGTTATGTCCTTGTGAAATTGGCAGGAA